CGCTCTTCCACAGGGGTGGGCGAAGGGCCCTGCTTGCCGCCGCCTGCTCCCAGCGCCTCGGTGTCCCCGGCCTGGACGGGGCTGTCCCCTCTGCCCCCCGGGCGGGGTTGCTCTGAGCTGGGGGGTTTGTGCGTCTCTGAAACCCACGGCGACTGTCCTGGGCTTCCGCGCTCCGGGGTCGGCGCCAGCCCGGCTCAAAAAGAAGGCACAGAGGGGCTCTTGCAGGGGCTGCGCCGGCTGCGGGGGGGCGATGGCAAATCGTTCTCTTCTGGGCTTCCAAAATCAGCAGGGCTGTGGGGGAGTTGCCCCGGGTTGCGGGGAGCGCGCCGGCTCGGCCGAGTGCCACGAGGAGCTTCGGGGTTGGTGACCGAGAGCAAAGCGGGCGCCTGCAGAGAGGGCGCGAGCTCCAGCTTCGCTCCTCTGCAGGGGGCGAACCTCAGCCCTGCGAAACTGAGGTTTCGTGGAGTGGAAGCGGGCACCAACAGCCTGACCCTGCTCTGACGGGACCAGCAAAGCTGGCGTGAAAGGCGGCTTTTGGGCAACTGCAAATATTGGTGCTGGGGGGGGTGTAAAAGCTGCCAGGTCCTTCCCTTTCCCTTCCCAGTTCCTTCCCAGTGTCCTCGCCGGGCCTGTTCATGCATCTCTGCTGTCGGACTGGCAGTGACGGATGCTCTCCATTTGTATTCTCCCTAGGAAACACACTGGAGAAAAGCCATTTGAGTGTTCCAAATGCGGCAAATGTTATTTTAGAAAAGAGAATCTCCTGGAACATGAAGCCAGAAATTGCATGAACCGATCTGAGCAGGTACGCCCGGGAAGCTGCCACTGGCAGCCTGGAAAGTGGGTGCCATTTTGCAGGAGCAGAATCAGAGCCTTTTCCCCGCCACAGTCCCCAGCGCCCTCAGCTACTGAACAAACCCCCCTCATCACTGCTGTGTGGCATGCGTACCGCAGCCGGGGCCCCTCCGAGTCCCTCTCTCGGTGAGGATGGCAGCAGCTTTTGTCTGATTTACCAGACAACTCTCATTTTGTCTGTTTTTTTTAAGCACATGAGGATACTCTTTGTACCATAAGAGATCCAGATCGCTGCAGGCACGGGTTAAACTTCATAACCAGGTCCCAGCACCCGAGTGCCAAGCGCCGGTCTGAGCTGCGGGCTTCGCGTTGGGCTCTTGGTTCTGCGGAAGCCGATGCCTCCCCTGTCTCTTGCAGGTTTTCACGTGTTCGGTCTGCCAGGAGGTGTTCAAGAGGCGGATGGAGCTGCGGCTGCACATGGTGTCGCACACGGGGGAGATGCCGTACAAGGTCAGCAGCGCCTGTCTCCGACGTCCCTACGAATAGGGAAGAGGGGGCGAGCCTTTCTGTTGCGGTGCAGCCTGGCCCAGCCTGTCAGGGGAGCCGAGCGCACCGGCTCCCTTTCCCAGTCCGTGGCAGCCCGCTGAGGGTCGTTCCCTGTCTCTGAGCCAGAATGTGCTCCAGGGAGGCACCGCAGCCGGGCGCTTTCTGTGGCCTTACCAGGGATTCACGCTCCGCGTCAGAGCGGCGCTCCCCTGCCCCGTGCACTGGCGCACTGCCGGTCCTCTCCTTGTGCCAAAATCACCAGTTGGGGGCGGCTGGAAGCTGACCCTCCTCTCCTGTCTTCCAGTGCTCCTCCTGCGCCCAGCAGTTCATGCAGAAGAAGGACCTGCAGAGCCACATGATAAAGCTGCACGGCGCGCCAAAGCCCCACGCGGTAAGGGGAGCGGGTGGCGGCGGCGTTTTGAGAGGGAGTTATCCTGTGCTCAGGCCTGGCCGAGGGAATGGCGCCCATGGTCCTGGCTGGCTCTGTTTAGCAAGGCGGGGAGCTACAGAGCTGCTGGAAACATTTTTCTTTTGGGTACGGGAGCAGCCCTTGTCATTTTTTTGGCTGATAGGCCCAAGTACTGACTAGCATTTTGCTTTTGTCAGGCTGTCTCATCTCATGAGGCATTTTGGAGCTGGGGTGCTGCCGCAGCGGCCGCAGGGAGGGCCCCAAAGCAGCAGCGGCAGGCGGAGGGACGGGTCTTGGGCGGCGAGTGGGTCTGTTACGGGCGTACTCTGCGAACCGCACCTGGGCGAGCTGCCTAACCCCGCGCTCTCCTGTGGCCTTGCAGTGCTCGACCTGCTCCAAGTGCTTTCTGTCTCGGACAGAGCTGCGCCTGCATGAGGCCTTCAAGCACCGGGGAGAGAAGCTGTTTGTCTGCGAGGAGTGTGGGCACAGGGCCTCGAGTCGCAACGGCCTGCAGATGCACATCAAGGCCAAGCACAGGTATGACGTGACCCACGCCCTCCCGTCCGTCGCTCTGGCTCTCCTGGCTGTGCGTCCTCCCCGGAGGGCCTGGCTGGGTGGTGCTGGGGAGAGGAGCTGGCTGGAGGGCAGCAAGCACCCGCTTTCCTGGAGGTGCTGGGCCAAAACTTCTGCCAGAAATCCGATGCAGGGCCAACCGACGTTCTGCTTTTCCCTCTTCCAAAGGAAGCGCAGACTGTCGGCACTTCCTCTGAGTGTGCGACCGTAGTAATCAGCCTAGCTAATACGTGTTCTTGAAGCGGCAAGCATGCAGCAGCTTGCCATGCTCATCCTTAGCGTTCTGTTTCCTGGGCCAGTTACAACCCCCGCGGGACAGGAGGCTCCAGCTCGGCAGCCCGTGGCTGCAGAATAGCATTTGTGGGCCTCCAAAATACCCGAGTTTGAGATGGGTTGAAGTAGGATTTCATTACAAGAACTTTGGGCGAGGAGCAGCAGCTAGCCTGAGGGGCTGAAGCCGGCAAAGGCAGAAATGAAGGTAACGTTTCCCCTTCCCGCAGGAACGAGCGGCCCTACGTTTGTGAGTTCTGCCACCACGCCTTCACGCAGAAAGCCAACCTCAACATGCACCTGCGCACGCACACGGGCGAGAAGCCCTTCCAGTGCCACCTCTGCGGCAAGACCTTCAGGACGCAAGGTATCCCCCCGGGCGCGCGGCTGGGGCTGGTGGTGCTGAGCACCCCGCTCCAGCACCCAGGACCTCCAGAAAGCAGCCGTGCTGCGAAACCCGCCTTCTCCCGCCCGCTTCCCCCTGGGAGCAAAGCCACGCTCTGTGAGTGCACACTAACGCTGAGGAAAGCGCGTCCCCGTTATCTCCATTACCCTCACGCACAAAAGCGGAAGAAATCGATGAGTTTTCCCCAGTACCGGCCAGCCTGGACCAGCAGGCTGCCGCTTGTACTGCTTCTAAGCCTTCCTAACCAGCCTGGCACAGACCGACCGCGCCGTGCGCATGCGGTCTTCGCTGCGGCGTGGCTCGTACCCGAGCGCTGCGCCGCTGACCTGCGGCTCTCCCCCTCTCTCCCCCCGCAAACGGCAGCAAGCCTGGACAAGCACAACCGGACCCACACCGGGGAGCGCCCCTTCAGCTGCGAGTTCTGCGATCAGCGCTTCACAGAGAAGGGGCCCCTGCTGAGGCACATCGCCAGCCGGCACCAGGAGGGGAGGCCCCACTTCTGCCAGATCTGCGGGAAAACGTTCAAAGGTAACGGCCAGGGCGTCGAGCTTTCGCACGGCTCTTTAGAAACGGCCCTCCTTTCCGTGGCGCGGCTTAGCATCGCCGCAATCGCATAGTGCGGTGCCGCCGCCAACGGGCTCTCGCTTCCCTCCTCAGCTGTTGAACAGCTGCGCGTCCACGTCCGCCGGCACAAGGGCGTGAGGAAGTTCGAGTGCACCGAGTGTGGCTACAAGTTCACGCGGCAGGTGAGGCCTTCCCTGGCGCGGGGACGCCGCGGAGCTGCGCCGGGGAGGCGGCCCTCACCGGGCCTCTCCTCCTGCCCCCTCCCTTCACAGGCTCACCTGAGGCGCCACATGGAGATTCACGACCGGGTGGAGAACTACAACCCGCGGCAGCGGAAGCTGCGGAACCTGATCATCGAGGACGAGAAGGCCGTGGTGGTGGCGCTGCAGCCGCCCCCGGAGCTGGAGGTGGGCTCGGCCGAGGTGATCGTGGAGTCCCTGTCCCGCGGCTCCTTGCCCGAGGAGATCCCCGTGCAGAGACTCTGCTCGAACGAGAACTTCTCTACGGCGGACGTGATCGAGCAATCGCTAATTATAACCACAACGATTCCCGAAGACTGTGAAACATAGCACGACCGCCTGCGCGCGTCCTTCCTACCAAAACACAATAAAGCGTTAGGCTGGAGCCACCCTCTGCCGCGCTGCTTCTTTTCGAGTTGTGCATCTGCCCCTTCCCTCCTTCCCGCAAAGCTCCCACCCCAGGTTGCAGGGATGTGAAGTTATAACGAAGTCATAGCTGGGTCTCAAATGAAGAAACAAACGTGAAGCTACTCGGACTGGCTACTGAAATAGGTGTACGTACGCCGCCTGGGGCGGGATGTGGCTGGCGACTCCACGTGCGTAATGCTGCGAACGCTTTTTACCGAGCTCTCGTTGGCAGCCAGAGGGGCGGCTGGCGCTCGCCTCCCCTTTCCTCCAGCGCTCTCGCCTTGCGCCGGCAGCTCTGCCTTGGAGCCTGGGAGCTCGCGATTAAAGCTTGCCTTCCCGAAGAGAGCGCGGCTCTGCCCCTTAAACGCTTGCAAAAGGATTGTCTCCTCCGTTAAATTTGTGCCTTATTTCTACTTACTTTTGTCAAGCTTCTGCTAATTCCCATTTCTTCTCGCCTCCCCTTTCCTCCAGCGCTCTCGCCTTGCGCCGGCAGCTCTGCCTTGGAGCCTGGGAGCTCGCGATTAAAGCTTGCCTTCCCGAAGAGAGCGCGGCTCTGCCCCTTAAACGCTTGCAAAAGGATTGTCTCCTCCGTTAAATTTGTGCCTTATTTCTACTTACTTTTGTCAAGCTTCTGCTAATTCCCATTTCTTTTCCACATTAAAGGCGGGGCATGACCCGTATCTTCTCACCATTGAGAGAATTTAGCTGTTGCTTAACTGGAAACACATTCTCTCAAGGAGCTGGACAGCACTCTAAGCTCCTGCTTTTAGGTGCGGGGATTTATATTTGAAACAACATGCCCCAGGGTTGCCGTGACACCGAGAGCCGCTTCTGAGCGTTCCCCGGGAGGGGGAAGATCACCGAGCGTACCCACGTGCCCCGACATCGCTGCCGCGCTCTCCCCTTTCGCTCTTTTACTCACTGAGAAGGCAGAAAGTCTCCGGTTTAAACGTACCTCAGGCCTAGAACGAGAAACGTCGCAGTAAAAACTTACTCAAGTAATCTTCCCCTCAAAGACGACAGAGAGGTTTACGTAACATGTTTTATTTAACTTGACTGCTGCAAGTAAATTTAAAAACAACCTATGAGAATAAAAATACATTATCTGCAAATGTAAAATGCCTTTGTTTCAAAGGATGGTATTTAAACTGTACTCAAAGATTTGGACACAATGAATTTTACAAAAAATAAATACAGATCCGTAGCTGTTCAGCCGGTCAGGGATCTGGGGGTGGCAGGTCCAGCAGCGAGCACTACAGTATGAGACAGCGTGTGCGTACTATTTATAGTTCAGCATAAATACTTCGGTCTGCAACGCGGGTTCAGCTGCGCGGCGCGCGCCATCTCTCCCTGGGCACGCCACTGCGATGGGCTGCTTTGGCCTCACGGGTCGGCGCGGCGGGACGCGGCCATCACTCCCGGAGGTGAAGGAGCCGCCCCAAGTCACGGGCCCCCGCGCATCCCCCCTGCCCGGATCCTCTGCCAAAGGGGGGGCCACCGCACCCCACCCGCGGCAGCGCTGGGGAGGGTTTTACCCCCCTCCACAATCCTCCGCCGGCACGCGGCGGCTTCAAGGCACTGTCAAAGTTTCAGACTTGGAGAACAGCCCAGATTCCGTGAGCGGCTTTCCCAAGTCCACAGCTGAGGAGCGTGGCATAAAATAGCACTCAAGGCAAAACAGATTTTTTTTTTAAAGCTGTGAAGACGCTGATGTTGTGGAGATGGGGCTCCGACAGTACTTGATCCGAGGGCAAGCCAGGAGGCGTGCAATCAAGCATGTGGGCTTTCCGTCTCCCCGTTAAGTTTAAATTGAAATTCTTTTCCTATTGGTTAAAAACGAAGGACGGAAAAAGCGAACGCATCCAGCCAACGCTTCAGCCGTTGTCACACTTTACAGTTTTCCTGAAGGCGCGACGCTCATTTTCGGGTGAGCCGTACGGCAGTTTTAGCTGTTTGCTTGTTCAAGCAGCGTTCCACGAGTAAACTGCACACAGCTTCTCTTCAGCTAAGGTAGATAGAGAAAACACAGCCCAAGCTAGCTAGGTCACTTGGGCGAGCATAAAGGCAAATCTTACACAGGCCAAAAAAAACCAGCAAACCCCAAACAAAAAGAAGAAAAAAAACCCTAAAATAGCTACCTTTCAATCCGCAACACTCCGGCTAACTCCTACACCTTCGCCAAAACACCTCCGCGGCGCCTTCCAATTGCCCGAATCCCGAGAGCTCCTGCAAAGCAGAGGCGCGACAGGCACGAGACCCCTCCGAAGGTCCGGCGCGTTCCTTCACACGCGGTGATGCATTTCAAAGCAATTCTGCGTCAAGGTACCTAAGCACTGCCAGCCACTCCGCAAGCCTGCGGTGAATCTCCTGAGGAAGCTGCGCTCACCTTTCCCACTAAGTTTTTTTTTTTTTTGTCTAAAATGGTACAATGCTGACTTAGTTCCTTTAAAACGGTGAAAAATTAAAAGCTCGCCCTCACTGCATGGGGCCCATCTGCCCAACCCAGCGCGCCGGCCGAGAGCTCGGCGCAGGAGAACCGACAGCCACAAGAAGCAGCTTTTTCTGCCTAGTTCAGCCCTGCTCCTCCCCGAGGGCAGCGGCGGCCAGCCCCAGGAGCCGCTCCTCGGGCCAGCTAAGGGGGTACTCGCTTCTCCCCTTCCCCTTACGGGGGCGCAGCTGGGGAGATCGGAAATGAAAACAATCTGGTCGTGAGAATGCGATAAAAATGATAAATAAGGGTGCTGCTTCTTTGAAGGAAAAAGCGCTCTGCTAGGAAGGGTTGGAAAACAAATACCACCCCCCCCCCCCCTCCCCACAATACAGGAAGAACTGAAGTCCAGACAAAGGGAAAGGTGAAGCTTCATAACCCAGCCTCAGGGGGATCCCTGCTACCGGACGGCTGTTCCTCCTGAAGGCAGGAGCAGGAACAGAGGACCACGGCGACAGGGCGGAAAGGGCCCTGTTCTCATATCGACCTCTCGCCCCTAACAGACCTCCAGCTCTCGTGGGCAGGCCCTTTTCCCCGCTAACCACGCAGAGGACGGCGTGCACGGGAGGTCTGTCTTCCTCCGAGGCACAGAACAGAGGTGGGGGTCCAGGCCACCGTCCTACCAGACAGACCCCTCCCGAAGAAGAAACTGAAGAAAGGAGTTTGGTGGCAAATGAAGCGTTACGGGGTGAAGGAGCTGCCAGTGAAAGGCGTCTGGTCAAAAGCCGTAAGCTGCGACGTTGCGGTGCCATTCAGTGCGATCGCTTTCCTCAGCGTCCACCTCTCGGGTCCCCTCTGCGGGCAGCGCGGTGCCTTCTCCCACCCCAGAGAAGGGCCGAGGGACGCCGCGGTGGAGGCCTCTCTGGCTGCGGTTCCGCAACAGCGCCTCAAACATTCAGAGTTTTCACTCCCTCTGTGATAAGTAAATTTTTGTTTTCAAGCTCTGGTTTGCCTCTGCCTTCTCTCAAAGCAACACTGGTTCTGGAGAACGAACTCACATCGAGCCAGGGGCACAGCGCCTTCCCCTGCTAACGAAGCTCATTAAGGTTCTGGTTGTGAAGGTTTTGGCGCTGCCTGTTCAAGTTGATGGTGTTGTCCAGCGTGATGCTGTCATCCTCCTGCGTGGTTTCCGGCATGAACTGCCGGAATATGCTGACGCTGCCGTGCCAGAAGATGGGCTCGGGGAGTCGGCCCACCACGCTCCACGTTCGTGTCTCGGGGTCATAGGCTTCCAGGACGTCCGAGAGTTCAAACGTGTTATCGTAGCCACCGGAGACGTAGAGCTTCCCGCCAAGCACGGCCACGCTCCCCCCAACGTGAACCTGCAATTTAAAAATAATTATACACCACACTTAGAAAGGAGGGTTTTGCCCAATTAGGCAGACAATAAAGGCGCCGGGTACTGTCCCGCAACGGCTCGCTTGGAGCTCGCCCACCAGCTGCTGACTCCGGCTCTGAACCAGCGCTGCCCAAACACCAGGAGGAAGCAGCGTTTCCTAGCTTTGCCCAGCCCTCGTGTGCTGCGCTGAGCACCCAGACACACAATCACAGTCCAGGAATTTTTCCTCCAGGTGACCGCGATACACTTAAATACACTCCGCGTGCAAGGGGTTATAATCCAAAGAGCACCTTGTTTTCCAAAATTAAGCCAATTTTTAACACTGAGAGGCATCCAGTAGGTCGGTAAGCGTCCTACCTGAAGCATGGCAGGGATTTTATCCCATTCATTCTTTGCTGGATTGTAAACATCCACTTCAGCCGAGTCGTCTCTGTGGGAGATAACACAAAATTACTCTTCTGCGTTCTAAAAACCTCCCGCCTTGTGAAGCCCCCAGTTCAACAGCCTGAAACGCCGCCGCGAGCACTTCTGCTCCAATCCTGCTACGTATATTGGAGACCAAAGCGTTCCTGTACGAAGGCACAGGTCTCGATGCAGACCCCAGCCTCCAGCGTGGGCTTCTCCTGCGCCAGCAGGGACGTTCGACCCCAGAAAACGCCTGGACCTCTCTGCTGCAGCCCTGCACACGAAGGGGGCTGGCACAGACACTGCGCACGGACCACAAACTAGCGGAGGAGCGCATCTGTCATTCTCGGTGCCAGCAACCTAGGTCCAAAGAGCCCGAATGCCCCTTCTGAGCTTCTCACAGGCAAAGCAACGCGCTCTGTACTTTCTGGTGTACGCTGAGTTTTAGCTGCCTAGGAGGGAAGGCAGACAAGACGACTGGGGACGGAGCAAGCTGGCAGTACAGGCTCTTTTCCACCTCCCCGAGTTGGTCGCTCCACCCGAGACAGCGGGGCGAGCTGCTCCGGACTGTGAGCCCCACTCGGAGTCCAGCACGCAACTACACTGCTGCTGGGTGGGAAACCACTGCGCGATCCCCAGGGCTTTCTCAAATCTAGTCCTTTTTTTACATCTGCATCTATGGTAGGTGTGCTCACAGACTAACTTTCTGCGAGTCTGCATTTCACAGACTGATCTGGCTTTGGTGCTGGAAGAAAAATTACTGCTGTTCTGGAGAGGCTTAAACCTCCATGCACTTCAGAGTAATGGCATCCCTACTGCTTGAGTTTTTCACCAACGCCAAATTTAGATGGGCCAGAGGACTGTGCGAGAAGAGCTGGCAGGGGCAGCGCAATCCCCGAGGCTTCTCTCGCCCGCTCCGCTCGCGAGACGGGAGGGCGACAGCAACAGGTGAGGGACGTTTGCAACGCAGAGACGCGGCCCACTGACACAAGAATGCAAAGAGGACAAGGTCAGGGCAGCTGGAGAAGTGCTGGCAGTCACTCCAAGACAGTCCTGTTACAGACGGATTCAAAAGGCTGTGAGGAATATTTTATTGTCTTTGTATCTATCGCGACATCACACGTTGCCGTGCATTGTGCGGGTGACAAGGTATCACTGTCGATTGCTGACATGAATCTGAGCAGGGGAGGGAGTGAAAATAAACAAGAAATCTCACCTACAATAGCAGTGTCTGTTTAGCAAACCATTACATCTAGAAATCCGCCTGCTAAGCCCGCGGTCCAGCCGAGGTGCTCACCGTGGGACTTTCTGGTTACGCTCTGGACAAGCATTCCTGAGGTACCCGTACGATACACACTTCAAAACCAGTACCTTTAGTTTGAGTTACTTTTGTGAGGCACCTGGAACTGAACTGATATTCATCTGAATGAAACATCTTCAACAAGCGCTCCAAGCCCCACAGAGCCGTACTAAGACCAACCTTTCTTCCTCAGAACCAAGAGCTGGTACCTGCCTTGGGACACAGCGCTTGGGACTTAAACACTGCTGCCGAGCCGTCTGTGCCTGAAGAACTGCTGCTGTTCACAACGCTTCCCGAAACTAACGGCAGCAGGTGAGTCAAGTTCTTCCAAGTATGAAGCTGAAAACTCCAACGGACTGGAAGGGAAACGAGGGCAAAGGCAGCCCCAGGCAGGGGTGAGAGTCAGGCCAGGACCTCCTCTCCCATCTCAGGGCTAGCCCTAAGAAGGATGCAGCTGAAGAGCTAAGCCTCGCTGCTATGCTGTATTTATAGTTATAAAACTCGTCCCACTAGAGGGGATCGTCAGTCAGAAACTTGAGTCTGAGCTATTTAAAACTAACCAAAAAATGACTTTGTGACTTTTACTCGTCCCCTATTCCTCTGTCCTCCAAAGATTATCTTACAGCTTTATACAGAGCAGCAGTCCACCTGCAGCACGTGAAATGAGGGGAGAAACCCCTGATCCCGATAATCTCCTCATTAACTCCTGCAGATGCATAAGTGTCCTGGAGTGTCAATCATCAGCATTTTAAAACGGTTAAGAAAAAGGAAAACCTATAGAATCGGCTTGTGACAAGCGGCCGAATGGCTGGAACACCCCCGCCAGTATTTACTGAAAACCAGGTGACTCAAACTACTATCTGCAAACAACTGCCAGGAACCGAGACACCCGGCTGAACCCAAATGAATCAAATAAAAGGTCTCAAGTAGAAGTTGCTGCTTTATGCAAAGCCAAGAGGAGATTAAAAAAAGAAAAGTGTCTGGAGGCCATCACAGAAGTCTATGTTTGCTCAAAGTCAACACAACAAGATGAAATGCTTCAGCGCTAGCATGCCTTTGAGTTTATTTTTAATTAAGTGGATAACCGAAGTATTTGCACCACCAGGACAGCTTCAGATGGGTAATTAAGTCCCAATTTGGAAAGGTGCTTAAAAATAGTAACCAATCATTTCATCTTCAGTCCTCTTATCTCTGCTGAGACCGAGGAAGTCCTCTCCTGCGCTACAGTTTAACGTTTTCTTGGAGCTTACTCGCTTATTTATAGCAACAAGGGGGGATTGAACCAGAAGCCAAGAAAACCGAGAAGTCTGTTTGCAAGCAGTGCTGCTGACTCCAGCCAGATTTATACCTGGCTATTCCCCAGCCCGTGGGTTGCAATTCAGACATTTTTACACAATTTTAAGCGGAGTTCTTTGACCTCTAGCTGCAACAGAAGCAAAGGAAAGAGGTGTGGTGGTTTACAGACCCACCTGCACCATCAGGGGAAGCACCGCTGTGCTTTCCCAAGGCAGCGCTTTGCTACGACCACCTGGAAAATCTGCGCGTCTCCCCGGGAAACCCTGGGCTTTGCCTCGTGGGGACGCGGGGAGGGAGGTTATCGCTCCCGCTACTCACCTTATGAAGTACATGAGGCCGTTGAGAGTGACGGTCTTTGGGGCGAAGGACCAGGGAGGGAGGTGGCCGCAGTTCACGAGGGACCAGAGGTCGCTGTCGGGGTCGTAGCACTGCATAACCATGGACTCCTTGCCAGCCAGGGAGCCTATGGCGAACAGCTTGCCGCGGCATGAGGTGGTGGAGCAGTTGTCCATGGGGTACAGCATGGGCTGCAGAGCCTCCCAGCTGTCCAGCGAGTGGTCGTAGCGCTCCGTGCTGTCAGAGGCGATCACGTACAGCAGCCCGTCCAGGACCGTGGAGCTGTGGTATTCTCTGGCTTTCAGCATGGGAGAAACCTCTGTCCACTCGTTGACGCTGGAATTGTACCTCCAGACGCAGTCGTACAGCCTTGACCCGTCCGATCCCCCTGCAGCACAGCACGCCACGTTTCAAAGCGTGGTTTCGCAAAGGGAAGTACTATGGGGCGGTGGAGGACGGGGCTTGGCTCGGGACTGGGATCTTCGTGGTGTCTTCCAGCTACACCTCCTTAATACCCCCCCCTTTTCTGCTTCCCAGGACCATACATTACAAAAATATTTCAGACCTGGAGGACCACAGTAGTGTCCACTGCGAGGACTTTAACGGAAGGTTTGCACTTTTCCTTTCCCAGCAAGCCAGGAAGGATTTCTCCCATGTCATTCCCAGTCTGTACTCAGGCACAACTCAAAACGAGTCTCCCAGGTTTGACTACCTCCATCCTTCTAAATAACCGTTTTTTTCCCCATTTCGCAACCCCCACTCCGTCGCTATCCAGAAGCTGCTGTGACGTAGCGGAGACTAACGCACGCCAGCACCGGCAGGACGGAAACCTTCCAGCCCTCCCCGCTGCCCCCGCTACGACGCTGACACTAAGCAGAACGACAGAAGATCCCTGCCAGCCGCAGCCTCGCCGAAGCATGGGGCTCCCAGTGGTATCGGCGCCCCCAGACCCGCCTGGGATTGCTCCGGAAAGCTCCCGCAGACGTAAGGGCATCCATACAAACGAGCTGTGTGGTAGCCCATCATTTTTACAACTCTGCCCTTAAAGCAGAGCCTCGTTTTCTGCTCGTGACTAGAGAACGAACAGTTTTCTGTTCACCTGCATTTGACCTGCCCTTCAAAGCTTTGTCAGTGCGTCCTGCACACCCAGAGTAGTTCAAAGGAGGCATCTACATGCAGATTAACAGCCAAATTTACACATCTGTGTCACCTTGACAGAAGCAATTATAGCCCCAGCGGACTGCAAGGAGGCAGGATTTGCGGCAGGGAAGGTACCGTGACTCAGACGCTGGCTGGCTGAGGAACCCGGGGCTTTCTGACACGCCTCCACCTCGAGCACACGCTTGGCTTGTAATTCACGCGGCTCTGAACCCAAACACCTTCTTCGCAGACAGAAATTCAAAACCCTCTCAGGTCACCCCTGTCCCCCCCAGAGGGAGCGGTTAGAAAGTTCTACCAGGGCAAGACCTGTGACTTCTCCCTGCGTGCTCAGGAGCCTTAGTCATGACAAAATACCTCCTGGATTGAGATCAGCTGCTAAATCCTGCACCGGCTCCAAGAGTCCCTACGCCTGCCTTCAGGCTGCAGCTGTACCGAGCCTGAGCAGAATTTCAGACTCCCTGCTGCCCTGAGAAAAGCCAAGTCTCGCTGCTAGAGCCCATGTATTTTCAGTGGCAACCTCAACACTGGCGCTTTTGTGCCCTGCACGCCTTACCGGTGACGTAGATGTCGTTGCCCAGCGCGGCGACACTGTAGCCTCCGCCCAGGTGCTCAGGGAACTCGGCCAGGTAGCGCCAGTGGCCAGTGCGCGGGTTGTAGCAGTCAACGGTGACGAGCTCGTCGCAGTCGCGGTCGCAGCCGCCAACGAGGACGAGGATCTCGGCCAGGCCGGTGGAGGGCCGGGGCCGCATGCGGGCACAGGGACCCCGGTCGTGGCGGTCGAGGCGGGCGGCCTGGAAGTCACGGGCCTCGCGCAGGAGGCGCAGGCAGGGCGGGCAGC